CAGGGGCCCACGCCCTCCCGGAAGATCTGGGGAAATGGTCAGAGAGCACAGGGAATCGAACTGGGAGCTGGGGAATTGAACTGGAAGCTAGATGTCAGTATCAGAGCAGTTCTTCCTGCCCTCTTCTCTGTCCTTCTTCTTAGTTTTTGTTTCCCTGCAAGCCTGGCTAAAAATTCTCTACAACATTTTCAGAATGTTTCGGAGCCTTCTGTTTCAATTTGAATTCGGTGTTTCGGGTGCCAAAATGGCCCGAAACACCTTCTAAATGAAACGGGTGCCAAAATTTCGCCCAGTCGTACTCCCCTGTGGGAGTCAGGGGTCCTTGCTGCTGTAGCCCAGCCTTGCAGCCCACCCAGGAGGAGAAGGGACCAGCTGGTGGGGCAGCACAAAGGGCAGCAGCAAAGATGGTAGTTTTCCCCCTTGTGCGTCTTGCCAATCAGCGCTGAAGGGTGGGGCCAAATGAAGGGCAGCCAGCAGTCAAGATATTGGCCATCCCCTCCTTGGGTCCTCTCTGTTAATCAATATGGAGGGTGGGGCTGCCACAAAATGATGGCAAATTTGTTTTTTCTTGCCCCAAATTATGTAGAACCCTCCCTACCCATCTTGGCTGTTGGTTTTCAAAAGTTTTGAGTTTCCATGAATCTGTGTTGAATTCTGTCTTTCCTTCTGAGGTCTGTTTGCACATGTTGTGCACACATGGTCTTTTATATTACAGTATACTGGTGGATTATACTGGTATAATGTACATTGTGGTGATGAACGGAAACAACACTTCTGTGCGTGCATGTTCTCCTTTCATCCCTCCTATTGCTTAACTGATAAACAGCTCCTTTGATCACATGTTCAGATAAAGGCTGGCAGTGCATACAGTTTCCTTTCTTTGATGCAGCTGTGTACTTTCAGAGCTCTTTGGGTGGGGCTGATTTGCCTTTTTCATCTTATCTTTCTGGTTTTTTAGCACCAGTTGTGTGTGCATGTATATGGAGGTGAACCTGCAGCACTGCCTGAATGTCCTTAACCCACAAACCTTTGCAAACAAGGATAAGAACTAGTCTCTCCAGTTCACATTGTGGGGGAGAAGGTGCACAAAGGTTCAGGTCTTTTTGAAAATCACGCAACAAGTTGGTAACAGAGCTTGCCTAGGCTGTTGTTCACTGAATCGCATTGTAGGGACCAAATACGTCTGTTGAGGAGCATTTTGGTGTTACTTTATTAAAGACTTTAATCACATAGGACAGAGTCCAATTTCTCTCCCTCTGCCTAACCCCAGAAAAACTGTGGTCAGGATGTATAGTGTTACTGAACTAGAATCACATCAGTATAGATATAAATATCCAAAGGCTGACTTGCTAGGTAGTAGAATGCTGCTTTGATATATACCATTGGCTTTCTTTTGAAGCTATATTTCTTTTTGTCACAAAGGTAGGGATACTTCGTTGCAAACAACTTTGTCTTCACTGAGGACTCATATAAGCCACAGTGGTTGGTTTGTGTTTTTTTTTTTCCAATAATTTTTTAAAGTTAGATGACTGTTTAGTAAAAGAAAAAATAAAAAGCATCTGGAAACACTTATTATGTAGTATGCTCTGGTTGCTCAAAAATGTTCTACTAGAATGTCATTAAAATTTCTTAAGAAAAACTCTATGGAAGGTAAAGGGCTAAACATGATAAATTTTATCTAAAGGAGTTTTTGTAAGTGCTTAAAAATGTTAATAAAAAACTCATAACCATAGTGGCATTGTCACAACAGGTTTTTCCCTTTCATATGGAGATGGATTATTTGCTATTGGAAACCTTTCTAGCCAGCAAATACATCTGAAAGCAACTAACTGGTGGTTCATCAGAAGCATTGTGTTGAGCCATAAAGCAGAAAGTGCACAACCTGACCATTGAATCATTTCTGCCTAGCAGAGCACAGCACTGGCCTTTACAAATTTATCCAAAGCAGCCTGTAGTGCTCTGGATCAGTGTTGAGATGTGGTCACAGATCATGGCTGTTAGAGGTTGAATTATGAATAATATTGCATTGTTACAGGAATGTTAGACTTTGAGGAGAAGGAATCATTAATTAAGAACTAAAATGCTACTTGCCACAATTTTTGCCAGAAACAATATGTTTGACTTTTTTCTATTGTCTTTTCAATATTGGTATATCCTGTGTGCACTATAGATAAATGGAGCACAAAAGTGAGGGGATATGGGGGAGAGAGAGAACCATGTTGGGTTTGGTAGATTTCATAAGCTATTGATTGTAGTATATCATTAACAAGCCCTCATCTCTGACTTGTAGAAAAGAGTGATAGTGACTGGGTTATGATCTTAAAATTTCTCCGTTATAAATGGAGGAAAAAAAGGACAGTCTCTCTTACCATCTTTCTAAACGTCTCTCAATATTTAAGGCAAATAAATAACTCTTGAATATGTGTCTGTATTGAAGCCTTATATATTTGAGGGTCAGAGGGCATCAACCTTATTGGTACTTATTCTTGTGTACCTTAATACCTAATTCAGTCAGATATGTCATAGATCAGAATTTATTCTCCATCAGTGTGGCAGTGACAAAACATGCTTCTTCTCTTCCTCATTTAGATGAGTAATGTTACCATCAAACCTTTTAATTGACTTATTGCACAAATGGTATTTTTATTTCTGTCATAAGAGCTGAACAATTAATCTTCATACATCCCTGTAGCTTAACATGACTCAGCTGCATTGCTGTTTCTCTATTGGAGAAGAGTTTGAGTGTTGTAGGTATTAGATGGAGAACTTCCTTTAACTCTCCCCACTGAATCCTTTCTCTACATGAAATATATTGGTATGTAAATTTGGTCTGTTTGTCATTTCTAACTTCAAAGCTGATCTGATGTAAGCTCAGTTTCTGGAAATGCCTCTATTTAAAAGTTCAAACCAAAACAATGTTAAGCTGCTTTTCCTAGAGTATCAAAATATCATGCTAAACTAAAGTGGGAAGGCTAGTTGCAGAGATAGTAGTAGTATTAGTACTACAGCATTTGAATCTAAAGCTGAATAAGGATTAAGAAAATGACCACAAAACTGTGATGGATCTTATATATCCTGTAACTGTATAGTCCACAGTTAAGTAAAACATTGGATAGAGCAGGGGTGGGCAATTATTTCAGCTGGAGGGCCGCTTAACAAGTTTCCGTGAGCTGTTGAGGGCTGCAGGAGTAGCTCTGCCACTGCCCCTTGACAGGTGCCCTGCCCCCACCATCCCCTGCCCTTGCCCCCGGAAGTACTCCTTTTGGGAAGGGGGTTTGCCATCTTGGGACTAGAAAAAACACATATTATGCCCATTCCTGAGATAGTAAATACTTCTGAATTCTGTTTACTTGAGTTGCAACAGGAAAGGTCAGAAGGTTAGTATCAATTCACAGATGTATCTGCATTTCTAGATTGTAAGGTTTTATATTTTCATTTCTTAGCTCTCCTTTCTAGGTGTTGCTGAAATGTGAGTGTGTTGCCTGCAGCAACATAGTAGAGATGAGAAACTTTTTAGTGCAAATATGTAGCTGGTATGATGTTGATTCATCTTATATGGATTAAGATGCACTTGATACACACTTAAAAATGAAAATGTTTGAGCTTAATGCTCTTACACCTGACTCTGCATTGTAAATCTTTTGTGAACCTAGGTATCTGAATGATGAGTGTTCTTCATCATGGGGAAACTCAGGCTCGCTAAGGGATAATAATACAAATACATCTGTTATGAAAGGTGCATAGATTTTGCATTCTTTATTGTGTAATGCTCGTTTCTTGGTTTCAGTATGATTTACTAAGGGCAACTCCCTTCCTCTCCCCTCCCAATGTGGTTACCAGGTTCTTCATTCTTCAGAGAATGCAGCTTAAAATGTTATTTGTCTGTTCTTCTGTCATGTGGAGGTGAAATTGGTTTGGTTCTGCTTGTAAAATTAAATGTCTTTAAAAAAAAGAAATAACCTTTCTGCCAAATCATTCTTGCTGTGTTTAACATTCTTGATGTTTCATAACAATCTTTTCTTGTAAAATGTTCCTATATCTAGTGGTTTGCCTCACCATGAAATATATGTACGTCTTCTGTGATGATAACCTTATTTCATTTTTTTTAATATGTTACATGATAAAAGTAATCTTCATGTGACAGATATATTTTTCATAAGAGATGGTCTGTAGTGAACCTATAGTTTTAAAATTATTAAAGTGAAAAACTTGTATGGATATGCCGTCATAGTTTTAAGCATCATTCAAAAGGTATGGGGTTTATGCTGTATATGTTATAGAGTAGGCTATATAAATAGCCATTATGGTCTTGTATGATGCTCTAGATCTCTCAGGTTCTGTCCATACTGTTACTATTACTACTACTTCTCTTAAGGAAAAAGAGAACAGAAAACACTATTTTTGTACAGCTTGTATTTGTGTGTTGTCTGATTTGTCAGCTTTAATGGTCATGGTTTAATGATTTCAGTTTTATATTAACTTTCTTCTTTCTGTCACTTATATCTTGTTCGTAATCATTTTCTAGGTAATAAAAGCCAGGTGTTGTTTCAAGATTGTTGAAAATATCATCTTAATTGAAATGCCCATGGCATTATAGTACAAATGTGAGGGATGTACTTTTCAAAGATTCTTGATCAATAGGAGGAGGAGACATTTTTGTCAATAACTATTAAGATTGTGTTTCTAGTAAAGGAAGGAAATTTACTATAGCCTTTCAGCCTGTCCTAAACTTTCCTTGATATTTAAAATATTTCTGCCTAAATATACATGGATATTTTGAAATTATTTATAGCTGTCCCTTTTTCTTTTAACATGCATATTTGGATAGACACATTGAAAAACTCTTTTATGCTGGAAAAAGTAGCCTGATCAACTTGCAGCATATCTGGCAGCTTTATGTGTAACCAATAATACAATATCCTGCTATATAGAGGGTGGATCATACTTTAGCGTGAGGCAGATTTGTAGGCTGCGCTTATTTATGGAGCTTTTTCTTTTAGGCAAACGGAATGGGCGCAGTAAAAAGTGGAGGGAGATGCTGAAGTTGCCACCCATCAGTTATTGTGAAGGCCTCAGATGTTCAATTGGTAAGTATTGTATACAGTTCTCAAGTCTGGTTTCTCAGGGGCTTTTGTTCGGTGAAGGTGTTTTATCTTGCTTCTGAATGGGTGTTTAGCTAGTTAGTAATCAGACCATGGCATTTAATATAATTGAGAATTTCTGAGGAGAGTGTATACATCACAGCCAGCTTTCATTATGCCCAAGGAAACTACTCTTGGAAGAAAAGTACTAACTGAAGTAATTATGTTCCAATTTCTGTAGGAAAAGAGAGGGTATTTACCAGAATACATTAACATTGCAGATGCTAATGAGTTACTTGCATCAAAGTGATAGTGCCCTTTTGTTCAAAGAAATCTGGTTAGTTCTGGGCAAACTGCAGTGAATCTGACACCATGCTTTTTGAAACAAAACAAGGTATAACTGCCCCATAAAATTGTGTGTGTTTGGTCTATGGTTATAAAGCATCTTTTCAAATTAGTTCTGAAGAACTTAAAACAAAATGTAAACCTCTTCAACCAGAAGCCTTCTGAAATGGAAAGCTTCTTCATAAGCACTGAACTAGCACTCAAGTGTATTATATTAATTCATAGTTTGGACATAGATATTGAAATAATCATCAGCATGAAGCTTTTTAATCAGAGTTGGAATCTGTAAGGCTAACAGGAACAGGCCGTCTTTTTTTCACCAACATTTACATATACTGATTACTATCTAATTTTACATTCTCGTTCCTTTTTGTTTCTATCCGATTTGTTCCCACTTGCCTTACTTCACCTAAAAGCAAACAAACAACAACAAATGCCAAAATGTGCATTGTCAGGCAAAGGGTCTCTTTGGACAAGCCGCATTTAAAACAAGAAGTACAAATTCTTCCTCAAGATGCATACAGTCTAAAGAAAGGGTAGGGGTGCTCATTTTATGTTTGGCTGACTTTAAATTGATGTGTTTCAGGAAGTTAACTGATCGGTAACTGTGAGAGTTTAGGAGAAAATCTCTTCTTTGCACATCCTACTGCATAATAGTTTACAAAGTTCAATTTACACCAGTAATAACCTCTGTCAGATACAGGACTATTTAGAACACTAGTCTGATCTGGAAATACTATTTTTAGGAGTTTGGTTACAGGGTTATGGTAGATTAGAATAGTTAACTTGATCTCTCAACTGTGGATCGTCCAAGCCGTCCTGTTTCTGTCAATAGACTTATGTGAATAAGGTTTTTATAGTGTTTTGTTTTCATTGGGAGCAGCACTCTGTAGTGTTACATACAGGACCTTTTAAAAAATATTTCATGTTGGCATGAAAAGGTCAGTTCGATCTAAAAGGCCTTTTGGGGTTTATTTCTAAGTATGGTGAGCTAGTAAAGGCAGAGGTGGTAGTTTGGCCCAACTCATTTGAATTTTTAGTGGCAATTTCATCAAATCTTGGGCCTCCGATTTTGAGTGGGGCTTATAATACCAAAAAGCTTTGCATTTTTCTTTTTTATTAAATCTCAAATAAATAGGCAAGGACACATTATGGCTTGTTATGATGGCTTTTGTTTAATCTCTTCTCTTCCCCTAGAAAAGGACTATAACCAGCTCTGTGACAAGCAGCCGATAGGGAAACTTCTCTTCAGGCAGTTCTGTGACACTAAGCCAGATTTGAAGAGGTGCATTGAATTCCTGGATGCAGTGGTAAGCTGTAGTCCATTTATAAGGATCGCAACCCTGCTTTTTTGAGAAATTAGAAAAAGCCGTAAGTAGGTAATTTATTTAAAAAATAAGCTTTTTGCATCCCTTAGATTCATACTAATACAATAACAAAACTTGCTGCATGTACTACAGTGAACTTGGCAAAAGAAACTCAACAGCTTTTAAGGACTACAAAGTCTGATAAAAGCCAGAGTAAATTGATAGACTTTGTGGTGTGCCTTGGAAACTTTGTTTCTGTTGGTCTAAAGGAGGAAATCTTAACTTTACTATAAAAGTTCTGCCCCCCTCATGTATGGATCTGGTTCTCAGAGTAGAAAAGGAAGAGATAACAGGAACGAAACTAATTGTAAGGTATTGGAGAAGGAGCCATATTCAGCTTGTGTTGAGTCTTCTGACAGGTCTTCAAGTATATAGCTTTGTCTGGATTGTATCTTAATTAACCTAGTTTTAAATTAGGATCAAAGGCTTCACCTCAAATCTCGGGAGTATGTTCACAATTTTTTTGCTATTTGACAAGTGATGGTGGGGAAGCATTGATAAACCTGCAAAATTTCAATATCTAATGTAGCCTCCAAGTTGTGACTTATAAAATCTGAAAGCTAGCACAGCTCAGTTAGTGGTCTGATATAGAGCACCTGTCACCTTCTGCAGATTAATTTCTTAATTGACCTGCATCTTCTTTTTTTTTTTCTTTTTTCTGAACTGATCTTCAATCAGTTTAGCTCAAATTAAGATAGATACAAGTAATGGTGTGGAGTAGAACAGCCAGTTTCTTAGTGTCAAATAATGACTTAATTTTATGTAAATAAACACCTTTGGCATAAACTACTTGCATCAAATGTCCTTGGAATCCCATACTGGAGAGCTCTGAACAACTTTTGTTCTCATTTTTTTCATTCCATTTTCAGGTTGGAAATGCAAATCAGGTGACAAAATAAGATGTAGATCCATAGAATAAACAAACTGGCGTAATTTTTTTTTCTGGTTAAATAGAAGCCTGGTGCATGTCTTTAATTGAATGTACCTTGTGGAGCAACTTGACTTCAACAACATACATATTTACTTGAATTTTTGCCGTGTCTTATTCACATACAAGGAAACCTCATTAAATACACTGTCCGTAATTAAACTGCTGGCAAAAACAGCATGTGCTCAGCAGTGGAAACCAATTATGAAGTCTTCTAATCAGAGATGTCTTATACTTAAGTAAATATGGTAGCATGTCAGAAGGGTGAAATAGCAAGTACATGCAGTTCTTAGCTTAGCAGTAGTTTTAATACTTTGGTCTGAAGTCAGACTGTTAGTGGACACTCTTGCAGTGTTGCAAAAGGAACGGTTGAGAAATTATTGAATACGATTTCGTCATTTTTGTAGTCCTCACCCTCTTCTGACCCATTTCAGTATCTGTAGTTAGGATTACTTAAGCGTGAGGAAATTGTACGGTGGGGTATCAGCTTCAACTTCTATGATGCTGAGTAATGGAAATTGGTTGATATCGAACAGGCTTTATATAACTTCCTCTAAAGTGGAGGAAATACTTAACCTTGGTAAGTAGAGTTAAAATAAGCCTAAATGTTTTTATTAGATGACTCACTATTTTGGCACAATATGAAAACATTAAGACAGTCAATGTACTGCTGTATTTGGTTAACCATTTTGCAGGATTTATATTTCCATTGTACTTCTTGCTACAGTTCCATGACAGCAAGATTAATGGCTTATAGTTATTTGATGACTTGGAATTTGTCCAAAGTAGTCTAGATCATGATGTTCAAGCAGAAAAGGTTCATCTTAAGGATAATTTACCAGTGAGGTAGTTTAGTGTAGTGGCATTCATGGGATTGTAGTATAGCAACTCCTAACTTTTGAGTCTTGGCTGTGCCATAAACTAAGACTTCAGACAGGTCACCTAGGGCAAGGCTATTCAATTTATTTGGCCCTGTTGCCCAGATCTGGACCACGGCTTCTTAGGGACCAGACAACCCACCTCAGTCAATGGGGGCAATGATTTGTTGGCACAGTTCCAGACTCAGGGGCTAAGCATCACTGCCACTCATGCCTCCTCCATCCCCCTTTCCTCTGCTACTGATCTTAATCACCAGCAATGACCAAGGATTCTGAATTCATTGGTAGGCAATGGTTGTGGGGGAAGCAGTAATGGCATTCACCCTCTGGAGCCATGCCACAAGCTGTGAAGGCCACATTTTAACACATCACAAGCCAAAGATGGCCCTCAGGGCTCTAGCTGGACAGCACTGATTTAAGACATATTACACCATCAAAGAGGACTGTGCTTGAGTGTGTCAGAGGAAGCCTAGAAAACCAATTCACACACACGGCACCCACAAAGATATACTGTGCCCACTTTTAGGGCAGTACTGGGTGTTCACTGAAAGCTGTCTGGACAGGCTTACTGGAACACTTCTAGCAGTAGTACATGAGTTTATCATGTACGTGTGGCCTAAATGTTTCAAGGTAGGCCCTCATACTGGAACTCCATTAGAAACTGTGGCCCTTAAAGATGCTACCGAACTGGAGATAATGCTTGTGTAGAAATGTACTAAATATACAGGTCATATCAGCCTTTCAGTTAGAGTAATGTTAATGCATTTATTTGTTTTATAATATAGTTACTTTGTTCTATAGACTACAACAATATTTTAATGTAGTTTCACAGTTTCCTTTAAGTAAGCAATTGGTTTCTCTTTCTCTAAGTAGACTGTTATAAACATAAACAGGAGGCAGAAAATTATTTCCAAAATATCCAGTTAAATGAATTTCATTTATAATTTCAAGATACATTATTGAGAGGGCGCTATGTCAAACTAAAATTCTCTACAATTCTTTAATTCAATACGTGTAACCTCTGTCTCAGTTTTCTTCTGTCTGCCGTAGGGATAATACTTCCAGTCTCACAAGAAAGGAATAACAATTGGTTTAAAATTCTGCACAAGCATATTAAGCCTTAAAGTCCTAGTTCATGAAGTTAGAAGGGCTGGTGACCTCCTCTTGTCTGAGTTTTGCCTATTGCATGCTTTTAAATATCTTCAGTCCTTTACTGACCTCAGTAACTTGTTTGACTATTGCATGCTTTCCAGAAAGGCACCCGATGTGGATTTGAAGATATCAGAATATGTAGAATTTAACATTTGCTTTGCTGGTTTATTCCAGTGATTTTTGATTGATTGATTGATCGATTTATTTTTAAGGAATCACTGTTAAAAATATATCTTAATTCTAATTTAGATCTGGCCTTGGCTTTCAGTAAATAGTTTTTAACATGCATTTCTGTACTGGATAAAAGAGTCCCTTTAGTATCCAGTATTTTCTCCCATTGACCATACTTCCATGTTGTAAACAAGTCATTGTGGTCATCTTCAAGTCAGACTGAGCTTTTTAAATCTGTTACTTCAATAGATTTCCTTCACCTCTCAAAACATTTTTGTGGCTTTTTTCTGAACATTGTCCAACTCTTCAAATTTTTTCTTTTAAAATGTGGATAGCAGAACTGCATGTAGTAGTTCAGTTTTCACCAATGCCAGGTACAGAAGTAAAATCACCCCTCTACTTTCACTACCCTATTTCTCTACTGAGAAAACCTGCTACCCCTTTTTGCTATGACATTACCTAGCAATTCATATCAACTGTTGTGACCCCTAAATCTTTTCCAGGGTCACTATTTTATATTATATAATCTCCCATTCTGGAGATATGGCCTGTATTCTTTGTCTATAGGGGGTGAAACTTTGCATTTAGTTATGCTAATATATGTTTTGATTGAATGGGCTTCACTAAACAGTTAATGCAGGTAATTTGCTCCATTCCCATTATCATTTGCTATTCTATCAGTGTTTGTGTCCTTACAGACTTTGTTAGTGGTGATTGTTATATATTTACTTCTAGATCATGAAGAAAAAGTTATAAATGCCATTGGGCCTAGTACTGATCCCCGCACAGCTTCACTAAAAGCAACTCCTTCTTACATTTACTTTTGGAGATCTGTTAGATCGTTATCCATTTAGCATGAGACTTGGTGAACTAGATGGTGATTTTTTTTTTTAATTGGAATGTCATGTGGTACTAAGTCAAGCTCCTTGGTGGTGCGGGGGGGAAGAATTGCACTTACACAGTTACTTCCACCATATCTTTTCAAAGAACAAAATCAAGTTTGTTTGACTTAAGCCCCATTTTCTATAAAATCATGTCTACTGGAATGGATGATATTCTTATGCTTTAATTTTTTATTAATTAAATTGCCAGTCAGTATTTCCACTACATTGCCTGAGATTGTTGTCAGGCTAAATGGGCTAGAATCACTTAGGTCATTCTTCTCTATTGGTCAGTGGTTCCCAAACTGTGGGCCACAACCCCAAATGGGGTTGCAGCATCAGCAGCTGGTTTGTGGGGGCTGTGGAGAAATGGGGTCATGCTGAGGAACTGGTATCATAAATAGGGTTATGCTGATGAAAAATTTGGGAGGCACTGCTATAGGTCCTTGTGGTATTATGTAAATATTATTGAACCATAATTAAGCATGTGCTACATTTACCTCCTAAGCCATAGTTTCTAGAATTGTGCTAATCAAAACTATAGGGTTCACTAAGTCTCAGAAAAGTTTGTTTTTTTTTTTTAAAGATCATGTGGGTAATTTGTTTCATTATTAGAGGTGCACTGATACATTGGTCCTTATCATATCAGCACTGGTAAAAGGAAAATAGATACTATTGACAACTGCCTTTTTTGGCTGATGTGGCTGATAATGTTGGCAATAAATGCTGTGTGTATGCGCACAGCTGCACCACGCACACAACTAGGAGTGCAGCCTGGCAGCTTGGAGAGCAGCATCTGGCTGGTAAGTCTGTGCGGAGAGAAGGGGCATGTGGGAGGGAAGAGATTGGAGGGGTGCAGATCAAGGCCCCCAGGGTGAGGGAGGGAGTGGAGCTGCGGCAGGGGCAGGTGCTGTACAGCCAAGGTGAGGAGGGGTGCAGGATGGAGCTGTGGCTCATCGGGGGGTGGGGTTGGCTCCTGCAGCTGTGCACACCCCCGAGGAGGTATGAGGGGCACGTTCCCCCTGGATCTGTGTGTGAGGTAGGGGCAGACTGCCACTGTGTGCCCTGGGGAAGGCCAGGGGTGGGGTGGGCGGCAGGGCTGGGAGGCGGCACTGTGGGAAATTTGGAGTGGTTGTAGCTCGCCCCATAGCCTCCCCTTCTAGCACCGCTTCCATCTACCTCGCCTGGACCCAGCCCACCACTGGGAAGATCCTGGCACAGCCCCTGGCCCTGAGTACACAGCAGGCAGCCCACCCTCACCCCATGCACAGATCCAGGGGGAACATGCCCCCATGCCACCTTACGGCCCCCCCCATGAGCCACAGCTCTGTCCTGCACCCCACCTGCCCCAGCTGTGCAGCCCCTGCTCCTGTACCAGCCCCACTCCCTCCCTCACAACAGGGGCCTCAATCTGCTCGCCCCACCCATGCCCCTTCTCTCCCCCACCCTGCCCCTTCCCCCCCGACAACCTTACCAGCTGGATGCTGCTCTCCAAGCTGCTGGACTGCATATCAGCAATTGGATCAGTATCAGTATCAGCTGATGTGGCTGGTTAATAATTGGCAATCAGTATCGGCCTAAAAAATCTATATCAATGCACCCCTATTCATTGTGCATCTTAAAATATCATAGTAGTTACTTAACACCATGAATGAGAGCGTTCCATAGTCTTTAGATACAAAGTCTCCTAATCGCTATGGTTGAAACTGCATAGCATCGCAGTAAATATTCAAGTACTAGTTAACTAGAAAACTAACATTAATTTTAATTTTTCTCCACTAGGCAGAGTATGAAGTGTCTTCAGATGAAAAGCGTAAAGACTGTGGCCTGGAAGTTCTAGCGAAATATTTCACCAATGGGGTAAATACATGGCCAACCTGTCTAGTAAGACCCAAACAACTTGGAGGTTAAAACATCATAACAATTTCCCTTTTTGCTTTTATTGTACTAAAGTAAATTAAGTTCAGAATGATTAACAAAGTGTCATTAATGTTTTTCATTTTAAAATGCAAACTATGTTCATAGATTATTTTAAAACTTCATTTTGAGTCAAATTTTCAACTACTCCCCATTTTTTTTTTCATCGCCATCATGATATTTTACTTATCAATGTTAAATATTTTTAACTAATAGTCCTGGTTAAGGGGAAAAAAAGTTTAAACTGCACTTAAAAATAAGAGTAGTTAAAGTATTGTATTAAAATACTTCAGAGTAATAGGTTCTGTAGACATTGGAACTGAATAAGGAATTCCTGAGTTTTAGACCTGTTTTTCTTGCTGACTTGTGTGCCTTGTGCAGTTAGTCAGGAACATTAAAAACTGTTTTGAAATACAGGCCGGGTATTTTTTGAGAGATTTAGGTACCCACATCTCCCATTGACTTCACAAATATCTGATCATTGCACTGGTGGATTTCAAGGATTCCCTATTCTTTTCTAATGATCTGAAGCTCTGTTGGGAGTATATAGTTTCCCTCCTCTGGGTTTTCTATATCTCTTTTCTATACCTTCTTGCTATCCCTTCCCCATTACCAGTCATTCTGATTTATATATTTCAGAGCTTTATATTAAAAGGTCTTTCAGATTATCCTAAAAGTGATCAGTTTCTGACTCAGGCTCCTGGAAGAAATGCAACTATTTCATAGTTGCCATTGCATAGATACAAGTTTGCTGAAAACTGGTCAGGCGTCTATAAGCCACCTAAAGCCATGTGTCCTTGGTTTAAAATCTGCTAAGCTGAACTGTTTCCTTCCATAACATACCCTTTAGATAGCTCCTAAAAAGCTATTGAGTTGTTGACAAGTTTGCTTCCTAACATACTTCAGTAGAATCATGTTGAAAAATTTGTATTGCTAATGTGTTCTGATACTGATATTCCATAATGGAAAGCAAAGGTAAACGCTATTAAAATTTGACTCTGTCTGTTTTCTGGCTTGCTGGCAAGTCTGTTTTCTTTTTTCTCCCATGGTGGGACTTCTCTTTTTTAACAGTTGTTTCACTGCAGAATTCCTGCTAACTTATACTTCACTTTTTTTTTTTATTTTTGTGGCTTTATGTGAAGTCTGCAGCCCATTTGCCAGAAATACCTCAAGATACAGTGGATGAATGCAAGGCAAGGTTGGAGAAGAATCCTTCCAAAGAACTCTTTAAGGACTGCACAAGGTATGTGGTAAATGTCCAGTACTAAAGCTATGGACTCCATGTGTACCCTGCTAACAATTTCATGATGTTGGGAACTCTGGAAAAGATCTGGAAAAGAGCAAAAGAAGCTAAAATATGTGCAAACTACTCACAAAGCCGAGGAAGTCTTTAAGAAGAATCGGGGGAAAACATTAAGAATGAAAATGGTTAACACTGCAACTAGCAAAACTAATGGGGAAGTATACTTAAGTCATTTGAAAGCGTATTAAAAAAACAAAGAAGCTTTTCAAGAGATGGTGTTCAAAGATCTTAATATATGTATGACATGCTGTCTTTTAGGAGTATATTTTTTATTTTACTTACAGAACTCTTGAAGATTCTACAGCCAATTGCTTCTACGGTCAGCTTATCTGAATTGGGCAAAACACCTGTGTTACTAATACACAGGGATCTGGGTGGGGCAGATAATGTGGGCTTTTCTCCTTTAAAGGGCAAGTACCTGGGAAGCTGAGTGTTTCCCTTGCAGGCTGGCAGAGTTTTAGCCTACAAGGGGCTGCTTGGGGCTGGGGGATGCAGGGCAGGGCATCATGTGCATGTTTGTGCATGCATGGGGCCAGCAATACTGCCAGGCAGTGGTGGAAAGCAGCTCCCCCAGATGCCTGCAGGTAAATCGGGGGTGGAGTGTTGGGGGGAGGAAGGGGAATGAATGTAGTTGGTAATTAGTGGAGAGGTACCTGGGGAGTCAGATGTCAGGCAGGTTATAATGTGTCATAAATCCAATGTCTATAGTCCATGATTTTT